AGGAATTGGAAAATATGATAACTCACCCCAGGCGTTACCTAGCACTTATCTTGTTATAACTTATTCCTGCAATATGGAGGGCTGCTAAACTGCTTCATGCCATGCAGTGTAGAAAGCAGGGGTGACTTCGAAATGAAGTTGGCCTGGAACCTTAGATCGGACAATCCGTCGATGATGTCGCAAGAAAACACTAAATCTTGCGCCTTGAATTGTCTGCTCTGTTTGAAACTCGGAATGCTTTTCGTAATTGGTAAAAACCACAAATTCCACCATAAAATACAGAGAAGACTTGTTGCTCCCATGCACAACCATTACTGACTGCCTCTCCTCTCCTTTTTTTCCTTTCTGTCCCCTTTTTATGCTTCTCACAATACACTGGAGTTACCTACATCTATTCCTCTGTTCTATATGTTCTAAAATTCGTGGAAAATTCAATAACAATAGTTGCGACCGTTAACGGTTGCGTAACGTCACTTGTGATAGAATAACCTAATTATCAGTAGTTGTTCCATCAATTTCAGAAAGTTACAGGCCCTAAAACGTCTATCGTTCAATTTGGAAGTTAATTGAGAACAAATCTGATTATTTCTGGTCATGTGTTTTTCAATGTGGCTTTTCTCAATAAGACCACTGTTGAAAATTATTCTTTATCCTTATATATACATATATAAATATGCATAATACACCCCGCTGTGTCAATATACATCAGTTTCTCCAGTGAAAGTATAGGCAAACATGCAGTACGCAAATAATGTCAAGTTATCGTCCCAACAAACGAGCGCTTCAATATTCCAACAAAGAGCCAGGCTATACTCAGGTTGTTGATGATCCTGAGAGTATCATAGAAACTGGTTTCGGAATGCCGTGAACGACAGAATAAACTGGTCAACCGGAATGAATTCAGAGGTTTATTTTTCTTATGTATCTTTATCTGTGCTATAAAACTAGTTATTAATTTCACCAAAGCACCTACATACAAAATTTCAAAAATCATAGCAGATGAACTGAAAAACAAAATCAACAGGAACAACAACCACAGCATCAAGAATTCAATGGAAGTCATAGACAGGATCTCTCTGACAAACGTCAGCACGAACACTAAACTATTTTAATTTGACATAAAAAACATGTACTTCAACATACCGATCAACGAAAGTATAAAAACCATATCAGATAAACTAAAACACAAAAACATAAACAGGACCTACATTAACTAGATGGAATCTACCCTAATACAATACTCAACCAAAATTATTTCGAATCCGAAGGAAAAATTTATAAACAGATGGACTAGCGAGGGGATCCTCATTATCTAGCAGTAAATCCGAAATATTCCTGCATACCATAGATGAGAGAATTTTAACAATAATCAAAACACACGATAAAAAAGAAGAATGGTTCAGATACATTGACGATGGCCTGTACATATCACAAAACAAAGGAACAAGAAGAGAACAGATAACAAAGGGAATCAACAAAATAAATCAAAAACTGATTTACAGTATAGAGGAAGAAAACAACTCGAAACTCAACTACCTGGACATAACTATCGCATATAACCACAACAAAATAAAATTCCAAATGGCAATATACAGAAAACCTACACAAACAAGCTCCACCATACCCGCAAGTTCGAACCACCCACTATCATATAAAATGACTGAATATAACCCATCAATATACAGAATGCTAAGGACACCACTTTCCAATGAAGCCCTAAACAGGGAAAGGAAAATTATATACCAAATAGCAAACGACAACGGATACACCTTAAAGGCAATAGATAAATAAGATAATAGAATCATACAAAAAGAAAGAACAAGGATCAAACTATTCCAACAGATAAAACAACACGATGATGGACTGCATTCACATACATAGGTCACCAACCAAAAAAAAAAACAAACATCTTCAAACCCTTGAACATCAACATCACTCACTAGCCGAACACGAATATATAACAGAAAATGAACAGCTATGAAAATGAATAAAACAAAAACCCAAATGGAGTGTACAGCATACAATGCTTGGACTGCAACAGATTCTATACCGGCCAAATTGAGCGATCCAAAGGTACGACGAGCACAAAAGAGTATACATACACCCAATAACATATAAATCAAACCCCGTAAGACACGCCCCCATCAGAAAATATCAAACTCATAAAACAAGTTAATAAAGAAAACCGTATGGACATCTAGGAAACCTGAGCATCCATAAATTCAAAAGTCATAATTACCTTATCGAGGAACAAATACAAATCAATACACAACAAGACCTAACATTCAATATATTAAATATTACCAACATCAAACCGTTATTTCAACATCTCGACACATGTTTCGATCACCAAGTGATCATCTTCAAGAGGAAGATCAAAGTTCGATCTTTCTCTTGAGGTGTTCAAATAACGGTTTGGTGTTGGGAAAACACTCCAGTTATATTCATTACTACACCAAAGGTGCCAAACAGTGCACCACAAGTATTCAATATACTACACCTCCTAGAAACAGTGAACCTAGAGAAACACCAACACCAAGGATATTACCTAATGAAACCCAAGTACAGGCAAATTCAAAGACACATACGGATGAAAAATGCTTGCACTAAAAGTTATTGAAGCTTCAAATCCTTTGTATGAATAAGTGTTAATATTAAAGGAAAACATATTATATACATTTGCGAAGCATAAAAACTCAAAGTCGTCTCCACAATTTATTATCACCATCAGAATGTTGGAACGGTAAAAATATCAATCAGTACATGTTTTGAATCTATATAGGTTCATCATCAGCTAATTATTCAAACAATTCTACAACAAAAGAAGAACAACATAACAATAGTTATTGTAATGAGGTTTAAAATACTTACATGCAGAAGAAAAATTCGTAATGGAGAAAAGACATGTTAAGGACATGTTAATAGTAATGAAAATTCAATATTTAGTGAAACAGCTGAAGTTTATAACATCCTAGTTAAACGACTTCCGTCGTTTCACTGAATACTAAATTTTCTTCACTATTAACATGTCATTGTGACCATTTTTTCATTGGTAACATTTGATGATTTTTTTTCTCCATTTGCAAAAAAAAATATTCATCATGTGAGTATTTTGAACTTCGTTGTATTAACTTTTATTGTGTCGTTCTTCTTTTATTGAAGAATTTGCTGATGATGAACCTATATAGATTCGAAACATGTACTGATTGATGGTTTTATCGTTCTAACATCTGAGGGTGATAATAAATTGTGAAGACGACTTTGAGTTTTTATGCTTCACAAATCTACTGCACTCCACTTCGAGATATAATGGACTTCTATCACAGCTTATATTATATAAATATTTTTATCGAACTTTTTAAAGTTATAAGAATTCTCTTTTTGAACAAATTAATTGTGATACGAATCTTTTCCATCTATTGAATTATTCCATTCGTTCAGTTAATGACTCACTGGTGAATTTTTGATACACTTTTTATACTTTTCTATTCAGATATGATTTCAACAAACTGCTTTCCTCATTGCTGAGCATCCTGAACTGCGTTTTAATTGAAATTTCACGGGCTTTCGTTCAATTAATGTTCATCAAAACGAAATTAAAAAATACCAGCGGGAATTAATGTTGTCCCTAACCGCATTGTATTACTCTCTGTCTTCGCTTTTATTCTTCTTCATGGCATGATAATCTAATGAAAGAGATCACGTGAATGGTAATGAGATGATGTGTCTGTTCATCCACATTAATTAAAAAATATTAATATTCTGAATCAGGAATTTTATTTGGTGAAAACGGTAATTTTTCAGTAGTTATTCAAAACTCATAAAATTTTCATATTTGTATTTTGAACAATATTTGAATACGCTATGGATTTTTATCAAGTATCAGCCTCCACATAATTCAGTATGACTTAGATTCAAATGAGTAATTGCTATTTTGGCTGAATACGTTAATGAGCAACATATATGCGTCTTCTTTGAATTTCCTCCTAAACCAGTGGTCCTTTCTGTACATGATCTCAGCTTGAGACCACTTGATATTATGTTGACGAGTCCAAACATGCTCTGCTATTCCCAATTTGCTGGTTCCTCCTCACTGTGTATGTTTCTTATGCTCGGCAATGCAGACTTTCAAAGACCACTTAGTTTCACCGATATTAGATTTTCCGCACTCGCAAGGTATCCGGTAGACGCAATTCTTAGAATCGCAGTCCGCGTTAAGTGGTCTGGTTTTCGTGAGGCTAATACGAATAGTGTTGCCGAATCGGAAGCAGGTTCTGATGTTGTTCCAATTCTTAATATTCTTTCCGACAATCCTCTGATGTAGGGAAGTGCAAGTACTGGTTGCAAGTACCGGAGTAACCATTTCGTTACAGATAATTTTTCATGATGCCTAGTTCCTTGTCGAGACCTTCCTTCATATGACATAGTCCAAAAGCGGTCTACTAGAATATTGATAAATCTTCATTTAGTAGATTAGTGATGGTTGAATTCGTGGTTCAGATATTGTCCCGTATAGGTGAGTTTGCGGTATACAAATGTTTCCCACTCAGTGTCGGTCCTCTTCACCAATACGTCTAAGAATTGCAATCCGTCGTGAACTTCTTCCACCATTAGGAGAGTATATTCCCATGGTTCCATATTATAAAGGTGTCATCAACGTATTTCAAGGGCCTTCTTGTGAGCTTCATCAATGACCAGAGTTTCATACCACTGGTATAACAAATTGCTATGACTCTTTATTTCACTCACAATAATTACACTTCACGATATATTAACTTATGAATCACTATATTCAATCAAGAGATGTAAATCTTCAGTCGTAATCTTGTGGAAGTCCAACATATTCACAGCATCACACCCAAAACTCAAAACAACCTTCCTGATAGAGCAGGGTAAAACTCCAATAGTTAACGATCCCGGGCGTAAGGTACATGAAAGACATTCCACGTCTCCACCTGGAGAAAGAATATGCAACATTATAATATAATGCTCGAATTTTACGACAGTCGGATTTCGATGAAAAAATCAACTTATATTATTATCCTATTAACGCTTACCTTGATGTATTTTTCCCTTGATCCAGAATATCCATTGCCCCAATTGGATTCTTGGTTTGATTTGTTGTTTACATTTTGGTGTTCGCCCGTTGACAGAAGCAGGACCTTGGACGATGAGCAATCGTTTCGGCTGTCGAAAATATTCGACGTTGCCAGGCATCCGAGAGAAATTTTTGCAGAACGCGATGTTTCTTGATGATTTCTGGTAAGATAATGAATTTCCTGAGCTGGTAATATGTATTCGGCAAGATATTTAACATCAATGGAGTATTAGGTCGTGTTTGCAATAGTTGAGTTAGAGAAAAGCATTGAAATCAATTTTGATTCGGTTGATGATTATGTCAGTGACATCTCTGGGTAACTCAACGAATTTGAGTATTGACAGTCTGGAGGATGAGGGTGACCAGCGGGGGAGAAGTGGAGAGAAGAAAGGTTGTGAGATGTGTGTTGAGGTCTTGAATCGTAAAATTTCATGATTCTTAAATCATCCTTCACTGGGAATATATTTTCGAACCTAATTCAACAAGTTCATGATAGATTGGTGTTGCTTTTGTGTGTAGTTCCGGTATTTATCAGAAGTTGAACTCTACGGAGGATCTGGAAAACTCAACACTACATCGATCTCATTCATGGTGGTGATGTTCATGGCCGGTTCCATAGAGTCTTATCTGGTTCAATAAGGCTGAAAATCGTCTCGCAGGGTAGATCGGCTATTTAAATCGTTCTTCCCAACTCCAGTACCGTCGTATTCGAAGAGAAAACCCCTTTCAGCCAGGGGTTTTTCTTGGTTCTGAAAGTTACTGAAGGTGTGCAGTATTTACAGGGTGCTACACTGGTTGGTTTCCGATCTAGGCTACAGGGTGGTGCAATATTCATCTTCTACAGGGTGGTGCAATCTTCATCTTCTACAGGGTGGTGTTACCTTCATCTTCTACAGAGTGGTGCAACCTTCATCTTCTACAGGGTGATCCCAGTGGTCTGAAGTTACCCAGGTACGGTACGGAAGGGTACGGGGTCATCTACTCCTTCTCAGTCGACAACTCTACTAGGACAGCAATCCAAACCTATCGATGCTAGGACACGCAAGTTCTCGACCATATATCTATTTGTCTATGATTCGTTTCACATATAGTCAATTGGCATACCTGAACCTAACCTTCAGTGTAGGGAGTTGAGACTGGCCTGAACGAATTGTTATTTCAGATGATTTGATTTATAGCCAGTCTTCAAGTATGCCCACTAACTATATGTGGAAAGTTTCCTTTCCTTATACGAGGAATTGAACAAATTTTGGATATGCAGTTGGTTACCTCGTTCACAGGCAGATAGGGCGACGATAAACCTGTTGTTTGTTGTTTGCTCCAGGTTAGTGATACTCTGAAAGAATTTGATTTTCAATTATCGGAAATCATCGACTTAATGTTGATGATATACACTACCTTGCACTGACGAGTGGCCAAACAGCCCGAAACCGGTCTGCAAGTGTGTTCCAATAATTGAAAATCTATTTCGGTAAGCCCTTGGTTACTTCGCTTAGTTGAATATGCCACGCGGCTGAAAATACTGTTTAGGAGCTGTAATAGTTTGTGTAGGTCATTATATTTATTGTAACCGTGATTGAGCGGTTATTGGGGTGCTCGAGTACGTCATATCGGGCACTTGACACGCCTCATTAACGCATGCGCAACACGTGAGCTCACGCAATCGCAAAATTGCTTCTTTACTCAGATCTCCCAAATTCCGAGTGTTAAATGTTGTTGTTGACAATTGATGCGGTAACAGTATTGTTGAGATTTTTTTATTTATACTCATTACTTTCAACATTCTGACAATTAGGATACTATCGCTGAATGCTTGTTTATGCTTGATTATTTTACTTTTTTTTAATTTAGAAATATCGTTGCATCTACCACAAGGGTTATTAGCAACATAGAAAAATAAATATATACATATATACACATACGTATCATTATCATTTACAATAGTATTTTTTTACGAATTTGAATAACATTGGAATAAGAAAGAGAGGTTGTCTGGTACTTGGGATTTCACAATTTGTTGAGTAAATCATTTTCAGAAAGGAATTCGAGTATGTTTGTGACGTTACAGTTCACACCAAGAGCTGTCTTTATATTTGCACTAATATTGTACTTCAGTCATTCATCCACGAAGATCGGACACTCCACCATAAAATGTTTAACTGAAAATTGACACCCCACATGTATAACAGATCTTTTCTCCTTCCCCTTTCAGTAAACGTTCGTGAGTATACTTTGTATGTCCAGTACGCAAACGAGTCATTATGATTTGTTGTTTTCGTTGTTTGGGGATGTCTTTCCATGGTTTGATGTCATCTTTAATTTCTTTCAATTTCATTTCAGATATTGACCATATGGATGACCAGTAATTAGATACCACAGTTTTCATATATGCTTTCAGGTCAACATAATGAACTCCTTCTTGTTCTTGAATGGTTTTATTGATGGTTTCACGTGCGATTTTGTCGACTCGTTCATTGCCAGAAATCCCGACATGTGACGGTACCCACATGAACTGAAGCCTTCTGGAAGCTCCCGTAATTGATGAATGTTGTCAGCGGGTGATCAGTATATATTTTCCGTATACTTTGCAGGGAACTTGAAGAGTCTGTTAAAATTAACGTTTTCTAGATTTCTTTCTTGATATTTACTCAGTGATGAGTGGAAGTGATTGTAGAACAGACTGGGAGTGATTTCGTATTTATTGAATTTGGTAAGGTATAACTTGCATAATAGCAGTGCAATGAGCCAGGGAGGGGTATCTGAGGTTTTGTTGGGGAGGGTTATTGGAAAGGCAACTACTACTACAACTACTACTACTACTACTTTTGTTTGTTATTCAAATCGAGTTGAGTAGTTTGTTTTACTTACAACTTACAGATACTGGTGCTTGACCAGTAATGACGTTTGCTTTGTTTTTTTATAATATCATAAGTATAGTAAGGCTTGACTTTCTGGAAGTGCGAAGAATTCAGTTCAGTTAATTAATATTTATTTAGAATTCAGTAAACTGTTTAAACTTATACTGGCATTTTATTCCAAGCCTTTGGTAAATTGGAGGTTGTGACTCTCAGTAGCGGGATACTTGTGGGTAAAATAATTTATCTGGCGCCCATTGAAGACTCAATTTGGATTTGGGTATTTTCTTATCGACCCATCCCTTCTCCACTGTAGCAGCCGCAAATATCCTGAACTAGTACAAACCAGTGTGCCGTTGTATTGGTTTCATATGTTGGCTATTATTGGTGAAAGTGGCGATACCATTGGCAGTTCCTCATCTTGCGTGAAGAAATCGTCCTGGGATCTTCCAGGTCCCAGGCTTTGGATAACTTCCTTTGTATGATTTGAAGTGCTTCTCCGATAGGAACTTAGGTGTGAAGACTTTCCACGTCGGAACTGATTAGTTCCATCAAGATCCTACCAGCAGATAGCGGAAACGCTAGTGTTGTGATGGATACTGATCTCTACTAACAGAAGATCGAAGAGTTTCTCCAGAGGAAACAATAAACGGCGATCGTACGGGACCCTACTGTATCAATGGAAAGGAAGTTGTACCAGTTGTACCATTGAAAAAATACCAAGTTTCTTCTTTCTAAATGGAGAAATCATCGCTAACATCCCACCAAAGTGACCCTCCTCACTTTCATAGATCACCAAAAATCTACAAAAAGGTTGTTCCGCTCAGACCCATAATTAGCTCCAGAAATTCGCCTACTCAAAACTTGTGTCCAGATTTTCACTGCAAATAATTGTTACGTTTCAATTTAGCACTAGATCAAACTGCTCTTATGTGACCTTTCAAAACACTACGTTACCTTTTAAGAACTTTATTCAAAGGATATTAACAATGTAATTGAGTTACAAGTAGATTTTATTCATTTAAAATCACAGTAATGGGAATCTTTCCATAGAAAACCATACCTGAAATGTAAAAGAATATATGTATGCTCCCTGACCAACTGCTTTGACCAGTACTTACGCATTCTCCTATTGCCAATCGACGTTGGAGATCCGAAATTCCGCGCTAGGTTGAAATAGTTGTTATTGTTTGTTTCTCAGTTACTACACTTATCATTTTTCAGCCGTTGCCTGCCTTATTCTCTATACCTTTCCGAGAATATTTCTTGCATAGATTGTTATTCATCACTTCCAGAAGGTTTACTTACATATTAGAGCCATATCGCCTGAAAAACAATATTAGTTAGCTCTGGGTTTCTGAATACTGTTTGATATTTTCGGTAAATATTCTGCATAATACGAATGCTCAAATATTTGTACTGAAAGGGAAGGATGTGGCGACTTACCTTATATGTTTCTATTCCATCCCATGAATAAGGATTGGTAAATAGTTGAAAATAGGTTGGAACAATATTTTTGTATACATTCTAATACAAGGTTAAGAGACAGCTGTTGGTTGACATCTGCCGAACTTTCGTAGTGTCGTTCCGTCGACTCACACCGAACTAGTTCTACAGTTGTTCAGGGGTGAGGGATTGATCGGTTACTCAAGTTGTCAAGGGTTGTTTTAGGGTTGCATTGCTTTGAGAAGGAGTTTTGATGGGTCATGGACTTGTTGATAATGTATCAAGTGGCTGTGGAGGAATTGATAGATGTATGATGTTGTGCACAGCGCCCCCTTGGTGCTTGTAGTGTAGATTGGAATGGGGATCTTTATCTTTCATTTCCAATATTAATTGGTAAGTTATTGATATTGTGAGTTACTTAGGGTATCTGGAGGATTAAATTTACCTGGCGCCCATTAAGATCTATTTGAAATTTGCTAAGTTGTTTAACCCACTCCCGTCTCCACTGTTTAGCTTAGCCGCGGATACCCATCTGTCTTATTTATTACCGACAGATGATTCAGTCTCCTCTTGTGGTTTGTGAGGTGACATAATATAATCATTACAAGAAAAAACTTCACTTTTTGTGAAGAATTCAAGGCATTCCGTCGAACTACTAGAGGCAATCGAAGTCACAGAGCAAGAACAACTAATCAGTGGAGAAAGCCTTCCCACCAACGTTCCTGTGGATGAAGAACTTCAAATCATACAG